AAGCAACGTCCTCCACAGCTAGACTGAAGAACAAAACGACAGCAACTTGTCTGTTCCCCTTCCCCCAATTCCCCAGCACTGTTCCTATCCCCCCAATTCCCCAATAAAAATCTTAAAAATATATATATATATATACAAACAGAAAAATTTCAAACTAATAATACGGGGCAAAAACATAAAGCTAAAAGGTAAATGAGAATAATTTCAACATATATTACAGAAAATACTTTAATATTCAAATTTTATAACAAGGCCCCAGAAAGGAATAATTTTTAAAAACATAATTAGAAATAGAAGAAAAACAGAGATGAACATTTAACAGGAGAAATACAAATGACCAATATTATGAAAAATTCCTTATTTTCCCTAGTACTTTAAAACATAACCTACTGTAAAACACAGGTACAAGAATGTATGTCTTATATCTTAGTGAATATCTACAACTGCCACCCAGGTCACACAGTAGAATTTAGCCAGCCATTCCAGAAACCCTTTTTGTGTCCTGTCCTATTGTTAATAACAGCCCCTTCATATGTTGTATTTTTTTGTTTTTGTCACCCAAGTGTGTCTTGGTCTTGTTTTTTATTTGTTTTAACCAGATAACTTAGGATATATTTCAGTCCCTTTTTCCCTTACTCTTTCTTAGCATTTTCTTGTTAAAGAACTGGACCATTTCTCCTGGAGATTTTCACAGTTTGAATTTTACTGTTTACATATTCACGGTGCAATTCAACATGTTTTGCTTTCTGTGTGTTTCCTACAAGATCATGGCAACTTGATCTGGAATCATGATCAGATTTCAGATTGATCCCTTTGTGTTTTCAGGAGGCACATAATGTTTGGTTTTCACTTTTTTTAATGTTAGCAGACATTGATGCTCAGTGCCTGGATCCATTAACTCATTGGAGGCTGCAAAATACAAATACTCTAGTTCTTTTTGTTTTTACTTTTTTAATGGAATAATTTTATAGGCATCACTTCTCTTTTACTATTTGATTAACCAATCGTAGAGTTCATATGGGAAAAGCAAGGAAAGTGTTGTTTGATTTTTTTTTCCTTTTATTTACCCAGTTTTCAAGGTAATGAGTTGGTTCCGTGCTGTCCTAAAGAGATATACAGATGTATTTTTAAGTAATATTATGAATTCATGGATTAAACATTTTTGTTTGGTAGGTTTTAATATATTTAAATTCTTTTCCTTAATTGAAGCTCAAACGCTCTCATCTTTGGCCACCAGGAGTCTTCTTTTGGCTCTTAAGTCCTTTTGACATAACCTTTGTAATCTTTGATACCTCCCATGCTGTCTAGTATTTATTTATTTACTTATTTTTTGAACTTTTGTAAGGCTTTATTTGAGCTAAAACACAATTACTGGGGAGCAAGATCTAAAATGTTCCCCATGCTGTCTAGTATTTTAAGGTTGTTCAGGCTCATCATGTCTATTTTCTGCCACAGACCTGATATCAGCTATTTCTTCAAGAAGCCCTCTTTTTTTTTCATGGAAAGTGATATTTCAAATTCTCAATGTGGGTCTTAAGAATGCTCATCCTCCTGGCTTGGTCATTCTTGCTAGGCTTTTAAGTGTACAGAGTTGGAATCTATATTTGTTTCTACATACCTGTATTGAGATATCCAGAATATTTTGATTTTTAGAGCTCTCAAAAGATTCTAGAATTAAAATACCCCAAAATTTATTTTTTTTCCTTACATCAATTTTAAAACAGTAATTGTAATATTACCACACCAGTTATTACTGGAACATTTAAAAATTTTTGTAAATATTATCTTTTTTTCCCCTGATTTTTTTATGGTTGCTCTAAATTTACATTGTTAAATCATATGGCTACTGCATACCATAATCTTTCTCTTTTAGTTCTCATTTAATATTAGTTCCATAGGTAACTATATATTTAAAGTTCATCCATCACAAGTCTTTATATTGTAATTAGAGATTATATGAAACATATTCTCTAGTAGTGTGACTGGCTGAGTGTAAGCATATTACCATCAGAAATCAATGAAGAAATATTTATTTGAGAACTAGGCTCTGTAGAAGAATGTAAAATGATACAATGGTTCATTGATTCTCATATATGACCACAGACTGGTGCTACTCTATGAACTGTTTGTTATTGGTCCGTGATAAGTACAGAAATTGAGAGATAGCATTTAGAAACTTCCATAGCGATCTGACAGCAAACATGTGATTGGTGTATTTTACAAAAGTATTAGTACCTATTAGACTGGAAATTTAAACAAAACAAACGAACACAGTTGGTCCTTTCCCACAGATAGTTTAGCATAGATCGTCGCTATTATACCCAACCCCAGCCATTATCATATAGCTGACAATAATGAGAAACATGATTTAAGAGATAGATAAATATTTGTGAGAGAAACTTATAGATGTGGACTAATGAAAGGATGGACTTGATCTAGACTTTGGTTTCATGAGCTCCTAGATATCCCTGAACATGTTTTTTTAAACCTGTTTTCCTCCCAGCCTAGCAGCTTGATTGATTTATGTATTTGTTTTTGTTTACATCTAATGGTATTGGTTGTACTCAGGTGCTTGGTGATCCTTGGTTGTATACTTGCTTCTGTATTTGTGATTCCTGGTTCACTTAGTTGTGGATGCTGTTTGCCTTTACTGTAGTCTACCTTAGACGATGGTAGAGGAGGGCTATATTGCCAGGTAGAACATGCCTATAAATTTGCCTTTTTCTGTTTGGGGTTCTCCATCCCTTCTGAGGATCACTATAAATCTTGTCCCTAGTATCTACACTTGCTATTTTAGATACGCTGCACACACTTCTATGTCCTATAGCTCAGTCCAGAAGGGGCTGGATTGTTGGGCTGATAGGAGCTAACTTAATTGCTACCTACCTGATGATCCTGACAGTAATTTGAGTGCTCCCTTTATTTCTTTTCTCCATTGTCTCTGAACTTTTTATCTGTTGACTTTGCTTCTCTTTCTGCCCCACACAGAACTTACTCTTCAGTGTATAGTTTGCGTTGTAATTTTCTGTAACTTTTTCTCTCTCCATAAATCTGATTTTATCCTTTTTATGTCTTTACAGATTCCTTAGAATGTCTGGTGCATTGATTACATACCTTCAAGTGTAGTGGATTGTTTTCAAGTGTTAAAGATTCTTTTTGTTTTCGCATATCTTCTCTGATGTTTTAAAATTGAGAGCAGAAGGAATAATAGGAGCATATATTAAGTCTGCCAGTTTTTTGTCTCAGTCTGCCATCTTGGTCCAGACCTCTAATTGATGTCCTTAAGAAATGATTTAAGACTCTGATAATAGTGTGCAGTGGTGCTGATTATTTTGAAACAAAACAAGCAGCCAGACAAATTAGCATACATTGTTGTATTTGGCCTTGTTACGTATTATCCTCCCTAATAGGTTAATTTAATAAGATTTTATTGAGTAAGAAATTAGTGAAACTACATATTAAAGGTTTTTTCTCCCCTTAGGGAGACAATAATAAAATCTTGATTATACTTTCATCAGTTCTGCCTTCTGAGCAAATAAATAATAGGGGTAACCACATTATTGTTATATTAGTTTCTCTGTAGAACGCTTCAAGTCAAAAAGCAATACTATTTCTGAAGGTTGAGTAGCATCTGAAAAAAGTATTTTAATTTTACTTATTTACTCAACAGTGGCAGTTAGCTATTCAAGTTCGATCAATTAGCATGGAAACTTACTCATTTGTCAAACACAATTCAAATTTTCTTCTCTGGGGTCTTCCCAGCTCTCTAACAATTGTTCCTCACTTTATACTCCCATGATATTTTTATTGTATTATGTTAGTTATAGGACTTTATTATATTGGAAATATTGTTTAATTACAGGTTGCCCTTCACCAAACTCTTAACTCCTCCATGTTTTATTCACTTTTGCAATCCTAGCATTATATTTACACAGTGATTGGATTATAATTTTAGGAATGGAATGATGGATACTAACTCATCATTCTACAAGATGAGAAGGCCTTTAATTTATCCCAAAATATGAACCCCAGTTATAAACTATGGGAAATCCTGAGATCATTTTTGCTTTAGATTAATGAATTTTAATAATGCAACATTTAAGTTAGACTTGAAGTATGTCATTTATTTTTGTGAGGTAACAATTACCATATGGATCTGTAAATATGCAGTTATGTGCTGCCTTTGAAAATGTCTCATTGTGTAAAAATAAGAAAAACTAATCCTGTTTTTAAACCAACTAAAGCCCAGTATTTTAGATTTGTCGTTTTCTTTTTTTGAAGGATCAAAGTAACAATGAAATTATGATTGGAGTGATGTCAGGAGGAATTCTGATTTATAAGAACAGGGTACGAATGAATACCTTTCCATGGTAAGAAGTTCCATCAATACTTTTGCTTTTACCATTATATTACTTACTATAATAATTCATACTAAGGAAAGTGGCTGTTGAAGTATTAATATTGTCATGCAACTTTATCCCACTTACTTGGAATCTAACAGAAGATACCAAAATAGTTATTTATTTCAAAAATTGCTTACCTTATAGAAAATATTGCTTTATGAATTTTTTTCTTAGAGAGTCTCTAAATTTGTATTGTAATATAATAGCTAGCACCATGTTTACTCTGTCTTGTACCATGCTAATTGCTTTAAATGTAGTACTTCGTGTAGATGCTTTCAGTGAGGTGTTTGTTTATTAGTTGGAAAATAGGCATGGTTGCTGCAACAAAGACCCACTTTTACAGTGATTTAAGTTGGTGCTAGGAAAGTATGGTGGCTCCATGGGGTATAAAACTCATGTTTTTTAGGGGGTTTATTGTTGTTGTTGTTTTATTTTTTTTTCCTATTGCTCTACTGTCCTTAGCATATTGTCCTTGTCCTCATTGTCCAGGATGACTCACCCACCATCCCAGGATGAGAAAAAAAGGAAAAGTGCCATCTTCCACTTTCCTTTAAGGCAGCGGTTCTCAACCTGTGGGTCGCGACCCCTTTGGGGGTCCAACGACCCTTTCACAGGTGTTGCGGGGCACTCGTGTGTGGGCGTATCTGCATGTGGGCGTGGAGACAGATAGAGGAGCAGTGTCTCAGTTCCTAAGACCATCGAAAATATGTGTTTTCCGATGGTCTTAGGCGACCCCTATGAAAGGTTGAGAACCGCTCCTTTAAGGGAATAATATGAAAACCATAAAAATCACATTGATCATATCCCTTATGTATATCATATAAGTAACTTAGGTTTTTAAAAATAAACAGTGATTTTTCTTTAGGGAAGAAACAAATACAAAAGAAATATGTTGTATTAATTTGTTTCTCTTTATAGTTTTTAAAACATTTGGTCCTGATTTTTTCAGTACCTGTGATTTTTTACTTAAAGGTTTTTATAATTAGTCCCTTTGATAACACTTTAACAGAAATATGATTACTGACAGAAGCAGTTATTTTAGAAAATCACCACAACTTTGTTAAGAAAAAAATAAAGATAAATTTCCTATAAGTCTCAAAAACATGAGCCATAAAATAAAAAATGAACTTCATCAAAATTAAATATTTTTGCTTTTCAAATGACACTCTAAAGATGAAAAGGTAAAATACAGTCTTTTGTAAAATACATATTTGATAAAGGATTTATCAAGAGTATATAAATAACGCTTATAGCTCAGGAATAAGAAGACAACCAAATTAAAAAGAATAGGCAAAATATTTGAATAGACACTTCCACCAAAGATATATAAATGGCTAATAAGCACATGAAAAGATGCTCAGTCATCAGTGAAATGCAGATTAAAACCACAGAACAAATATTACTCTACACCCACTAGAATAGCTCTAAATCAAAAGAGTGACAATACCAAGTTATAGCAAGGAAGCAGTGCACCTAGAAATCTCATACATTGCTGGTGGAAGTGCAAAGTAGCACACCCACTTTGGAAAAGTTGGCCGTTTCTTTAAAGTTAAACATAAGATTTACCATATAATCCAGGAATTCTATTCCGAAATATTTACCCAAGAGAAACAGAAACATAAGTTCATATAAAGATTTGTACACTGATTTTCATAACTACGTTATTCATAACAATACAAAACAGAATTCCAAATGTCCATCATTTGGTGAAAGGATAAGCAAATTATGGTATAGCTACACAATGGACTACTATTCAGCATAAAAAGGAATGAACTATTGAGACAGCAAACCATATGGATGACCCTACCATCAAATATTATGCTAATAATAAGCCAGACACAAAACACTATATATACACTTTGTTTCTGTTTGTGTAAAATGCTAGAAAAAAAAATTATAGATTCAGCAGATCAGTGGTTGCCAGGAACTGAAAATGGGAGGAAGCAGTGGCTGCAAAAGGGCACCAAGGGAACATTTTGAGGTGATGGAAATGTTCATGATAACTTTGGTGGGTGGTAGATATACAACTGAATACATTTGTCAAAATTCATTGAATTGTTCACCTATAATTGGTATATTTCATTGTATATGTAAATTGTACCTCTGTATGTCTTATAAAAGAAAACTAAAGATCATTTAGTATTTCATGTTACATCTTCTGAATGCTTCCTATATAATTAAAACTGGTATGTTCAAAGGAGAATACAAAACAGTTCAAAGACATGGTACCTGCTTTTAAATGGACGCACAAAAATTCATTGTGCAACACAATGAGAAAATTTGTTATTAAATGCTTCAGGGAAGATAATTATCATTGTTGGTTTTCATAATATTAAATGTACATCTTTGATTTTACTACATTTATGATTTTGCTAAAGGCAATTTTAAAAATACTTTATTTTACTTTTTATTAATCTTATATTTTATATAAATGTCATAATCAGAAATAAATTTTCAGATGATGTGGGTTAAAATAACAATCTAAATTTTTCTGTATTTTTAAAATTCTTTATTATATACATATTCCTTTATTATTATTAAATAAGAATTCTAAAAGAGGTTTTAGCAAATTGCTTTAGAAACAACGTGGATACAATCTCTCTAGGGAACATTTTAATGGCTCTGTGATATTGGGCATGGTCTTTAAAGGATGACTAGAAATTTCCGCAGTGAAAAGGAAGTGTAGAAGAGGTATATGTGTGTAGAGGGTTCTATAGGGGAATTCAAGGTAGAGGAACAAGCACTTGCAGAGACCTAATAGTAAGAAAGGACATGGCAAGTTGAGGAAATAAATGGTGGGCTATTTGGTTTGGTTTTTCTTTCAGTTGTCTTCATTGAGTACAGAAGCAAGGGAACGAGAATTTAGGAAGTTGATACTTAGGAGAGAAATTGGATTCAGATTATGAAGGATCTTATGTATTCTGTATGCTCAGGAGTTGGTATATTATTTTGATAAATATGCTTGGACCTAGTTTAATGTTGAGAAGTAGAGCTCATATTTTCAAGTCTTTATCATACAAGTTAGGTTAGGGGAAAAAGAGGATGTAAGCATTTAAGATATTGATTGGAAAAGAGATAGTGTTCATCTCAATTTTTATTTTCAATAATTAAACTAAATAGATGGGATTTAAAGTTGTTAAAGCTCCTAGATTTACATTATCATGGCATATAAGAATTTCTTATGATCCTAACAGTACATACTACAACAAACACATTTATAAATACATCACAAGTAGCTATAATTTAAGATCCAATGTCAATTGATTTCCAAGGAAAATCAGTAGGTTGTATGGTAATCGTTAAATATATGGTTTACTTTTAGTTCTTAAAATATTGATCTATTTTCACAAAGGCAACATAGTTCTCATTAATAATACTATATGTGAATGAGACCATATTAACCTCATCACCTTTATTAAATTCGTGTTTGTAGAATTGCCATTGCCTTTAAATTAATATTTTAGCAAAGTATTGTATAAGAAAAATCACTTGATGAGAACTGATAATGATTACAGCTCTAATGTGGTATCACATACATTTTAGCTACTTTTATCTTACTAATATTTTAAATAATACATTCTGGCCAAAAGTTAAATGATGACATTATCAAATTTCTGCATGAATGAAGAGTTTAGAGTAAACTTGGCAGTTTTAGAACTGATAGTTTATAGGATCAAGGCAAGGAAAAAAATCACTTATGGATTTTAATGCATTTTATCTTTAGCTTAGAACCTTTCAACTTGAGTGTTACTAGCATTGATTTTATAGATAAGGAATGAGCAATGCCAGAGAAGTTGACTGGCTCAAGTTAAACAACTGATAAGTATGAAGCAGAACTTTAAACCCAGATCTTTTAGATTCTGAAACACAAGCTTCTCACTTAGCTGTTCTCTCAAAATTAGAGCTACATTTAGAAAAAGTAGTGTACCGCATAATAAATATGCTCCCTCATATCTTTCCATGTATGGTTATCCCTGCATTATCCAGTTCAAGTTTATACTCTAAAGATGTTGAATAGTGAATTGGATTTTCTATTTTAGACTTCATTAAAATTAGTGCTCATTAAAAAAACACCATTAAGACAATGAAAAGGGCAAGGGGAGAGTTCTGGTTCTCAGTCCTGCAGGTAAAGACCTTGGAAGTCATCACTCCTGTCCGCACAAGAAAAAAAAACAAAAAACTGAAAATCAACAATTCTTTTTAGATCCCTCAGAGAATTAACTACACAAGGCAAACTGCTGCTTTGAAAACTGGAGAGACAGATGAATACAAAGAATGACAGTTTACCAGGACTAGAAACCACTGCTGCAGCCAGCAACTGGTAGGACTAACTAAAGGGTAATTGACTAATTGCTGGAGACTGAGCAAAGACAACTTGAGAGATGAAAACACCTGAAGGCCCAGCCTTAAGAAGGCTCCCATGCTTTCATAAATTTTACTACCAGGCACCCCACCAGGTTCTCAAGGTGAAGACTGGAAAAAAATCTATTCATTCTTTGGAGGGATAAGGGTGGGTGGTGGTGGTGACCAGGGAAGTCAGTATTTTGAAATATGCTCAAGGGCTTTCTGTTCTTCTTAACAAATGTCTGCCCTCAAGGAAATCTGTTTTACCAATACTTAACCAACATGGGTTTTACCAGAGCCTAACCATTCCAGCCCCCTCTGTACTTCTTGTGTTACTTAAGAAGAGGGTGAACTGAAAAGCACTAAAGGTCACAGCCAAGGGTCACAGACAGACCACTAAACCACTGAGAGCCAATCGTAGGATTAAAGAACAATTCCTCCACAACCCACACCTTACTCTCATCAACAGCTCTTCTGTCTACAGAAGAAGGAGTATCTAGGGAAACGCAAAGACAACAAGGGAGACAAAAACAGAGATCCTAGAGGAAATAGCCTCAAACACCTACCAGAGAAACCGTTCCTTCGAAGAAGCTATGATTTGATTACTTTAGTTTGTAAAGGAA